TTTGCCAACAAAAAATATTCAAGAGTTTTCCAAATCCTGATCCGTTTTCAAAGTATGTACCGTATGCAGTTCGTACTTTCGTACTCTGTTCGTTTGCTGAACTCAGCACCAGTTTTAGTTCTGCTCCTGGTCCCATCATTGGTTCCATGAACCACCAGAGTGCTCTCTATTTTATAATGACACTTGACGCTTAAGTCATGTTATTCTTGATTGTGTCTCAGCTGACTGGTGAAGTGTCGTTCATTTTTGTCAATTGGCTTTCGATTAGTAATGTTTTTGGGGTCATCGATTCCCAGTAAGCGCTTACGTTTTGCAACACGGATTGCTTACTCAATGTCGTATTCTTCAAATTATGATTGTTCTATTGGATAATTACTTATTGTTAATATCATTAGTCGTCAGCTGTTGTAATTTTTCTGATTATATTGTTGTGTGCAATTTTTGGTAACTAAAAATTCTATCGATTAATTTTTAATGTTTGCCGTTATTCTGACTCATCTCTAAATCCTCACCTTTAGGTCAGCTAATTTATGTGTTGCTCATTTCTTTTTTCACATTTGGTGGTTGGAGAAATAAGGTTTTTCTGAAGAGTTAAATTTTGTCTTCGCCTTTGTGAGATTTTGACCTTAATATCCTGAATTATTGAATTTATGGCACATTGAGTTGCCTTACGTTACGTTTTCGTTAAGTACTATAAATTTCGACGATTAATTCGGATTGTTACAACCATCTATGTGGTAAGTTTTGCTTTGCACGTTTTTTCCCACAGTGGATTCTGACAAGCTTTCGTGTCATCTGAGCAATTCCGTGCCAATTTCTTGCATTTTCTTGTGAATTATCGACACAATTGTATAATTCATTTTTGCTTTTTTCCGTTTCTAGAGTTGACGATACATACAACATTGCTGTTCAAGATGTTTTGTTATAAGAGAGGTGTGTTTTCTGTCTTTATCGTAGAGAATGAATAATAGCGAAGTTGTTTTATCGCAGTATAGGCTGTATTGTTACCTAAAGACTACTTTAATGTTGGTCTAAGATACAAGTCTGTTGAAAATTACTTTTGGGTCTCTTTTTTGACCCTGACAACACTTCAAAGCCTATGGAGGAACCTCACACAACTATCGTTTTCATCTAAGCAAAATCAAATTAACTAAAGAACAATAAACTTTTCTCCGCTCATAATCGTTCAGATTTGAAAAAGACGAGGCAATTCTTACGTATCTACAAACATGTGAATATTAATTTGAATTTTTTCGTTCTTCAGAATCTATTGGAGTTCTATGACTGTCAATTTCAATATCAAAATCTAGTATTTGAATCGAAAAATTTGCTAATTTTTTGCAATAATTTTAACAGTTCTTTTAGCATGACCATTGCTTGTCTGGAAGGTATAAAAAGCTGCTACTACCCTAACGCCTTCACCTGAGGGTATTAGATCCAATATCAGAAGGCTATTTAACAAACCCAAAATCAACCAAGACTGGCATATATACCAGACAAAACTTACGCAGTACAATAAGGAAATCTGCAAGGCATCAAGAAAATCATAAGCGCGGTTCTGTGAAGAAATCAGAGACACGCCGCGCCGGAGTGCGCCAAGGTGCACGGAGTCCTTGCAAGGGAAGGTACTGCGGGTACTCCAGGCCCTCTACAAAGATAGGACCTACAGAACTACTAACGAGGAAAGCCTGGGACTGCTAATCGATACCAACATTATTGGAGATCAACTTAGGTAGACAAAACAGGTTCAAAGGCCGAGAAGACCATCGAAGGTGGACTAGGATAAGACAAAGGAATAAGAATCAAATGGGCATTAGGCGAGTTCCATCCCTTCAAATCGCCAGGCCCAGAGAAGGAATCTATACAGCACTGTTCCTATGTAAATATTTCAGAGCATGCATCGCTCGGAACTACTTACTGCCAAAGATCGGCAGGATTCTAGAACAAATGTCCAAGTCATATAGATCTATACCTACGTTTCTCCTCGTTTCCGGACAAAACGCTAGAAAAAGTGGTGGACAGATATATTAGAGACCATACACTGACACTCTATCCTTTGAGCGATCGCCAGTATGCTTACCAGCCAGGAAAGTCTACAGACTCCGCCTCCGCATTGGATGATCTAAACAGACTCTTAACAAAGTCAATCGATGACAAAAACGTGGCGCTAGGCGTGTTTTTGGACATGGAGGGAGCGTTTAACGTTCCAACAACATCACTAATGAACACACTTAAGCGTAGAAACATTCTGCCCACTATATGCAACTGGATAGAAGTCAGCCTACGAGAGAAAGGATCATTAGATCTACTCTGGGTGAGGAGACAGTAGAAAGCAAAAGTAGGAGAGGCCTTCTGTCGCCTCTGCACTGGGCGATCCTAGTCGACGATCTTCTGTCAAAAATGGCCAAGGGGAGATTCCATTGCATAGTAGTCAGAGGCAGACGCCTTGAATATGCTTCAGAAAGAACGGAAAACGCACTAAAAACAACTGGTGCAAAGAGGAAGGACTGTCGATTAATCCGCAGAAAACCGTAATTATCCCCTTCACAAAAAAAAAGTGTAGGTACTAAGAGGGCTTAGATGCCCTAGGCCCCTTTTCGAAAGAGGTCAAATATCTAGAGTTGGAAGATAGAGGAGGATCAAGAGGTCGCCTCTTCGTACGAGATGCCTTTAGATAAAACAACCCTCTTTTTCCATCTTCAACGGCCCTAAGAGCAATCAGCTGCCAGAAGATCAGCCCCAAACTGGCAGGGACTGCATACATGCCCTAATTTTAGTGGGCTTGTTCAACAAACTTACTGTAGCATGGTAACCAAACCCTGAGGGCTACCTAGGCAATGAAAAGGTTGACGACTTAGCTAAAAAAAACTCAGCCACCGAGATTATAGCATGCCTCTTTAGAACATCTATCACGAACTGATGGATAGACATAGAAGTAGAGGTGCAGCAAGAGAACGGGCACAAAATCATCCATTTTCCCATGTAAATCTCCACAAGAAAATCTAAGGTCCAAATTGCGGCTTTTACGACCATTTCCAGGTAGCCCCGCCCTTGTACCAGCGCCCCAAGACATCTCAACAACACCTCGAAGACAGCTCCAAGACATCTCAAAGACAACAATAATATCTCTAAAACATCTCAACAACACCTCAAAGACAACTCCAGGACATCTCAACAACAACAATGGTTGATGTAGATGAGCATGTTAAAGAAATTTTGAAGTTGTCTTTGAGATGTCTTGGAGTTGTCTTTGAGGTGTTGTTGAGATGTCTTGGAGATGTTATTGTTGTCTTGGAGTGGTCTTGGAGATGTCTTGGAGTTGTCTTTGAGGTATTGTTGAGATGTTTTGGAGATGTTATTATTGTTTTTGAGATGTCTTGGAGCTGTCTTCGAGGTGTTGTTGAGTCTTTTTTCTGATGTCTTGGGGCGCTGGAACGGGGGCGGGGCTACCTGGAAATGGTCGTGAGATTTACATGGGAAAATGGATGATTTTGTGCCCGTTCCCTTGCTGCACCTCTACTCATAGAATTCCAGAGTTGGTGGCTGCAAACACCAGGACAACAACAGATAAAACAGTTCATTGAATCCTGCTCGCCAAAGTTCACATCAGACCTACTAAGGCACAGCTGTAAAGGTTAGATCATTTAACAGGGCATATTGAAGACTCAATAAGCACCTGGAAAGAATGAGCCTGACAGAAGATAGTCTATGTAGGTTCTGCCAGGAGGCGGAAGAAACTGCCGTACATGTCTGGTGCCATTGCGAAGAGTTATGCAGGCTCAGCCCAAACCGGAAAGGTGTATGAAGTTGCCAGATTCACGTGTTATCAGAAGGACAGCTTTGGACAACGCACTCTAAGATATGACAGGAGATATCAGAATAAATCTGACAAGGTTAATCTTACCTAATCTCTTGAAATCTCTATTTTTCTGCAAACATCTTAAATTTTCTCCTAATGCTGACTTTGTTATCCAGGGACAAGATAAGTATTCATGTGATGATACTATGGAGAATTTTCTCTTAATACTCCATTTATAGATGGTTCTTACTTTTCTTTTAATTGTACTCTTCGTTGATAATTCTGGTTCGGCAGTTTCATTGTTTTTTTCTATAATTTATTCAATACACATTCAACATATGCTTTTCCGTTAATTTATTGCAGCAATATTTCGAAAATAGTAAGCGTTAATTACACGTCGTTTTTTATATGGTCAAGACGTCAGGTTGACATTCCCTCAGCTACAAAAACAGTAGCAGGTGCATTTTCTTCTACTAAATACCGCGATTGGTCCCGAATGTTTACACGCGTACAAATCATTAGTAAACGCATTATCGGTTTTATGGACTTCATTAAGAACCCAAGTAAGAACTCGAAGGAATCCCCATTTTGGCCCGCTAAGGTGACACCGTCTTGATTTAATCTTTTATTCAAAGAAACCGCTTACGTCTTGGGCTTCATTAAATTTTAGTTTATTGGACGATGGTTTATGATAAAATCGACCAGCTGAACATACCGTTTCGGTAATTAAAACACATAAATTCTTTATGCCGCAATCCTAATACAATCAACAAGTGTTTCGCCCCCGCTCCATTCTAAACCCTTTTACTGTCGTCGTTTAACCCTTCCGACCCTAAATCACTGCTTAATTTGTCAAACAGCAAAACACCAACTTTAAATCCGTTAATTTTCCCGGCGCGCCGTTTTAAATTCAAACAATACACTGTCGAGTTTGTAATTAACTGGTTCAAATGAAGCACCCCCTTCATTCCTTTGGAGCAACAAGTAGCCTCGAAAGGGTTAAAGTCGGAAAATTAATTGTCCCGAGGGGTGAAAATGACTATTAGGCTTTTTAGCAGCGATTAAAAGTTTTCAACGATGATAACTTGAGAACGTGGGAAAATTTCTCGATGCCTGGGAAAATTTTCCTATATTGATTGAAAAGCAACACAATAATAGCAATAAACTAATAAACGTGCTTAAAAAAAATAAATTTACTGACCTGGCCTACAGAGGTCAGGATTGGTCCATACTCGCACGGTGCTGATTCGTAAGCTGAAATTCCAAAAAAAAAAATACTTAAATCAATCAATCATCAGCAAAATTTTTGAATATAATTTTTAAGCACGTTTATTTAATTCTTGCATGTTTTAAAAGAGATTTTTCTTGAAAACATTTAAAAACTAAAACCTACAAAAATCTAACTAAACATGCTTAAAAATAAAATAATCAGTACATAATAAATATTGCCTGTCATTTATACAAACTCCATATATTCGGGTGTCGTTTTGAATAGAAACTTATCAATCACCGATTTGAAACAGTGACGTGTGTTACCTCTCTGCCCCATCAGGTAAAAACGGAGTCCATTCAAGGAACAGACCGAAATCTGAATGAGTGGACACATTTGTATGCTACCTCTAAGGTTAATATGATATTTTCTTAGAATTTGATGTATGGGTTGGTTAATTTGATGGAGGAGGATACATTATGTTCTATACCAAAGAGTTTGTATTTGTTCATGCAGGGTTCATGGACTAATATTTAAAATAAAATTGAAGCGAATACCATCAGGCAATGGGCAATGGCGGCGATATGCATAAACTAATATAACCAATGCTTAGGGGCCCGGGCAAAAAGGGGGAAAGGTTCAAATATTTCAAGAACTTTCCTGGAGCCAATCAAGAGCCGGTAATAGTCAAAATTTCAACTTTTATCAACTCTGGATTCGCTAGAGACTTTTCCTACGGGTATTTAAAGCTCGAGAGCCGATAATAATCAAAATTTCGATTGATCATTAGCAACTCTTAAGTTGATATGAATCAAAATTTCTTCTCCCGCAATTTGTAATTGGCTCAAGAAAAATTATCCAATAGATCAAAAGCCACAGATAATCAAAATTTGAACTATTACCGGCTCCTGATTCTCTGGAAAACTTTCCTGGAGCGAATCAAGAGCCGGTAATAGTCAAAATTTGAACTTCCAACTCTGGATTCGCTAGAGAATTTTCCTTAGGGCATTCAAAGCTCAAGAGCCGATAATAATCAATATTTCGAATGATCATTAGCAGATCTTTAGTTGATATGAATCGAAATTTCTTCTTCCGCAACTTCTAATTGGCTGAAGAAAAATTATTTAATAGATCATGATCCAAAGATAATCACGAATCTGAGCTATTACCGTCTCTTGATTCTCTGGAAAAGTTTCCTGGAGCCAATCAAGAGCCGGTAATAGTCAAAATTTGAACTTTTATCAAATCTTGATGTCGTCACTGACTGCCCGGATTCCGAGCCCACGATTCGATAGTATCGTCTATCTATTTTATATGAACAACACTATCGAATCGTGAGGTCGGAATCCAGGCCCAGTCCTGCATACACTATCACAATAATGTTAGCACTGTAGGTGTTTCCTTTCTCCTGCGCTCATAACTCTCAATGACGTCGATTATTTATTTATTTTCGACAGCCTAATAACAGTTCAACTGCACTTGATGCTGACAAGTTGACATCAGATGTTTTCTAGTCTTAAGCCCATCAGTAATAATCAAAATTAGGATGTTTTTCGAGGCAATTAAAAGCCAGTAACAATCAGAGATTTGATTATTACCGGTCTTCAGGTCGATGGCAATTTTTCTAGAGGCCTTCAACCGCTGATAACCATAATTTGCAATATTACCAATATTTTCCAGTGATCTAAATTGAATGCTTCAAAAAACTTGATATTGTTTAGGATCGCTCGATTTCTAGGTTTTAGGGAAAACGAATTTGACCTCTCACATCTCAAATACAAGGAAACTGATGCAATCCGGCGATACAATCTGGCAACACCGGCGTATCATTTTCCTATAAAAGCAGACTCGAGCAGTGTACAAAAGGAAATTGGAACTGAACCACTTAAAGATTAACCTGATACACTTCACTTCATCCACAAATGGAGACCCGACCAGAACTACATCAATAATAAACGAAAACGATGGGAGTTGAACTGGACTGAAAATTACTTTACAATGATCACTGCAAGAGGGTTAGGGGAAGAGCGAGAAGTGCCTGCGACGCCATATACCCTTTCGTATCGACAACCTCCAGACTGACTGATAAAACCAAAAAATCAGACTACCGGGCATAGGTTCGACCAGTACTAGCATATGCATACTCGGTATGGAGCTCAGCAACCCAATCGGCGAAAACTCCGCTGTTCAGTGCAGAAACCAAAATGCTCAGGATTCATTACAAAAAAAACACATTCTATAGAAGGGCGAATATCAGACCAATCAGAGACGACCTCCTCCACCAGAGTCCTTATTCTCGAAACAAAGGAGCAGCGTTCTCATAAGAGTGAAGGTTTTGTCTTCGTCGCTCATATTCATATTTCCATCATCATCATCCATTTCTTGCCGATGCGGCAACAGCGATCATTACAGATTCATATTCATATTCAAAGCTCTCTCGTGAGGCCGGGATCGTGGATGGCTATGGTATCCCGGTTTGTTAACAAACGTTCTCTGGCACTGAAGACAGCAAAGTTGTCCATTCTCATCAAAAATATAGATAACAACCATTATTTCCCTTTGTTTAAGCATGTTCCTGTGTGCATTTAGTTCTTGAAGCCTTCTACCTTCAAAATTTTTAATATTTTCATGGATTGATCGTCTCCACATTGTCTGGTTTACTCCATTTTGTTCCCAATTGTTTGGATTAATATGGCATTTGTTCATAGTTCTTTTCAGAGTACCTTTATAGCGCAGTATTTGTCCTCCGCATTGTTTTTCGCCATGGAGTAGCTCTGAGAAAAATAACTGCTTTGTGAGGCGGTTATTGTTCATACGCACTATGTGACCACACCATTGGAGTTGTCGTTTCATCAACATGGACTCAATGCCATCAATTTTTGCTTTACGCAGAACATCTCAAGTGAAATTGGTCAAGCTTCAAAATGTGCCGCCTGTATAAAATACATGATTCTGGTCTATACAAAAGAGTTGGTGAGACTTTTGCACGGTACACTTTTATCTTGGTTACAAAACTTACGTCATGATATTTAAGAAGTTTCTGGTGCAACTTTCCACAGGCCAAGAATGCCTGCGCAATTCGAGTATTCACATCAGCGTCCACCCTTGCCTCTGGTGTTATGATACTCTGTGCTGTCAATATGGATGTTCATTTGAGGAGGAAGTTCATGTGCATTCTTCGGAGTTTGCTGCATTACTTCTGTTCTACGGATTTTAAGTCCAAAGTTACACGCTTCATTTAAACAATGAACGCATTCTCGCAAAATCTCTAAAGAGAGAGAGAGAGAGGAAACAAGACAACCATCGACACCCTAGACAATTTCAATTATGCGGGAGAGTTCCACCTTACGCAGAGCCTTAAGTCTATGAAGATTGTAAACACATTTATCATAACGGTATTTGATATGCAGCGCATCAAACATGCCCTCCATAGCAATTCTCATTACCATACAGAAGAACAAAACAAACAGCGTCGGTGCCAGCACTAACTTCAAAGTCATCGCTCATTTCTCCATCAACCATAACTCTGCATTTCATGCCGCCATGGAATAACTTTTTCATGTTTAGAAATGTATGGGTGCAGCCGAGTTTTTCCAATATAACTTAGAGTGTGTTTCTGGACAAACGCCTTTCCAAGGACAACGAAGCACGTAAAAAGAGGCTGGTTCTGTTCCTGAGACTTTTCTTGTAGTTGTCTTTTTATAAATGTCGCATCCGTTGTTCTCGTATTCGCTTTAAACCCGTATTGGGACTCTGGCAGAATAGTTTCAGAAACAGGTTGGAGTCTTTTTAGGATTATTCTGGCTAAAATTTTCCCACCTATGTCCAAGAGTGATATCCCTCTGCACTGCCTTTACTCCTGTATAACGCGCATATTGAAGACTCTTTAAACTCCATCGGAACCGACTCTGTTGTCCACATGTGTGTTATGAAACCATGTATTTTGTCAACGCTTCTCCGCCCTATTTATACACTTCTGCAGGAATTTCATTCGCACTAGCAGCTTTACCACTCTTAAGTTGATTAATAGCAACATTAACTTCCTTTTTACTTGGTGTTCCATCCAGGCCCAGAATAAACTCTCTTTGAGGCAGTGCATTTATAAAATCCATGTCAGCCGAACTGTCTGCATTAAGTACAGAGCTGAAGTACTCTAGCCAGCGGCCCAAGATCTCTGTCTTAGCTGTAAGCCTTCTACCGTTCAGTGCATTAACTGGCACTGATGTCTTCCTGGAAATACACTTCTCATTTTATGATGAAAGGTACCCATTTGGTGAGTATCGCTCAGAAATTTGCATTTCTATAGTCTGTTCTTATGCGTTTAAGTAAGAAGATGCCTAACAAGCCTATGAGACTCATTTACACTGCGCCGAAGATGTATGTTCTGTCTACTATTTTCCCATTTTTGAAGAGCTTCTAGGCGACGTTGAGGGTATTTGTCAGTTCAACACTATTTGCATCGAACCAATCCTGCGTTTCATATGCAACTCTGTATAAACCCCCGCAAAAGTCTGTCCATCCGTCAGTGGAAATTTCGTCATTGTATATAGCTTCGCATAAATCATTAACTTTTTCTCTCAACGACAGAGCAATCGTTTTCATGAGAACGCTTTTCTCCGGTTTCGAGAATAGACATCCAGACGACTCGAGATCACAAGACAAATCGGGACCCCCACAAGTAAAACCATGCCATACCGACAAGTACATCGGGTAATCCATCAGGAAGTCCTGAGGAACTAGGACGCTGGACCCGCGGGCTCCCTACCATCTTGAGATACTTAGTATACCATGAAGCCAATTTTTCTACTTTGTATGAAAAATATAACGATATCCAACAAATCCTAACAACATAATAGGTATATTATTTTTTGAATTTGAATTTGACTGATAGAAGGAACAACCAAGAAACTTGATTATGTTCGGTGTAGTTGAGCGCATATTGCAGAGCAAAGTATACAGAAAACTTGGTTCTGAACCACCACCACTGGAGTCAGGTTTAAACGGTCCAAATGAACTTGGACCAAGTAAGTTGGCAGCCAGCCAA